TCACAAGCTACAAACAGGATGGCTTCAGATTCACTCCACCACAGATGGCTCCCACTGTTCCACGGCTCCTCCACTCACATAAGAAGCATTATTTCATTCATGAAAGAAGAATAGGAACTGATAGTGGCCTCTGTACAGTTAAAACATTTAGTCAATATTTAAAATGACACTCACAAGCAGGGGCGGACTGACAACTCATGGGGCCCCTGGGCAATAGGGGATCATGGGACCCCTGTGTCCTTGCCCAAACTCAAAAAAGCCTATGAAAAAGGTACCAGGGGCATCTCATGGGGCCCCCTACTGATTATGGGTCCTCGGGCTGTGCCCGAGTTTCCAAATGGTAAGTCCACCCCCTGCTCACAAGGCTGTGCACACACAGTGCTATGTACAGGGCATATCAAATACAGGCGGCTCTCTGTCTTACCACCTCCATTGCCGACATCAATATGGCCGCAGACTGACTCCACTCCATTCCTTATGTGTTGTGCCCAATCAACAGGCTTCCTCAGTAGGCTACTACTTTCAAACGGGAGCTTTCTGATCATGTGACAGCTAGTCACGGCTGTCACATGATTATAAATCCTGCCTCTCACCATCAGAAACCTCCTAATGGGTCAGGAGGCGCAGGTGTTAAGGGGTTAAGTATCCATTTCTGTTGACTTCTTCCAATTCTCAGGTACCTTGGTTAGGCCCCACCTACACATTTACTAACAGGTATGCAGTGCAAGGGCTCACCTGACTGGCCTGGAAATTGAATGGATGATACAGGTAGAACCTTATACTGCATAGCTGTCAGTAAATCTAAAGAAGATCGTACAAAGTTATCTTACTGATATTTTCCGTAGAAATCGACATTGGTGGTCGTGATTTGGCTTCTGCATTGAGAATTTATAAATATTGGTCTGCCATCTGTATCGGTTGTTATATCCAAGCTTGCTGATATTTGGATTCCCATGACGTTCAAATTATAGTTTCCAAATATGGGTGTGCTAAAACAGAAAAAAATATATATCACTTAAAGGCTTCATTCATACGCATATTTTCTGTATGGAATGCAGGCTCTTCTAGGCAGAGATAACAGAAGATCCTGTATAATATGTGCACCTACAGTACTTGCATTCGAATGAGTACAGTTCTATTATTACTATACAGGATTTATATAGCACCAATAGTTTGTGCAGCACTTTACAATATAAAAGGGAACAGTACAAGAACAGTACAGTTCAAAACAGAAGGAATCGGAGGACTAAAGGACTTGTCAAAGACTATCTCTTGTCATTTTTACACTGCACTTTTTTTGTGAATGGGTAGACAGACACATAGCTTGACAGAGGTTTTAACCCTTCTACACTTATTCAAAGAATAAAAACAAATTTGGCTGGGGTTTCACTTCAAGAGTCTCCAACTTTCCAGCACACCAATTGCCTGCTATGACTGTCACATAGTTACTCTAGCTGAAAAAAGACAAAAGTCCATCTCGGGCGGACGGACAACTCATGGGGCCCCCGGGCAATAGGGGATCATGGGGCCCCTGTGACCTTGCCCAAACTCAAAAAAGCCTATGAAAAAGGTACCAGGAGCATCTCATGGGGCCCCCTACTGACCCCGGGCCCTTGGGCAGTGCCAGAGTTTCCAAATGGTCAGTCCGCCCCTGGTCCATCTAGCTCAACCATAAAAAAAAAAAAGTTAAAATCCTATACCCACAGTGGATCCAGAGGAAGGAAAAAAAAAACACAGCAAAGCATGAACCAATTTGCTCCTGCAGGGGAAAAAAAATCCTTCCTGATCCCCTGAGAGGCAATCATATACTCCCTGGATCAACTTTACTTTTACATGTTAATATCCAGTTATATTCTGTGTATCCAAGAAAGAATCCAGGCCTTTTTCAAAGCAATCCACTGAGCTGACCAAAACCAACTCTTGAGGGAATATATTCCACATTTTCACAGCTCTTACTATGAAGAAACCTTCCCATATTTGGAGATTAAATCACTTTTTTTCCCAGACGTAAAGAGTGCCCCCTTGTCCTCTGTGATGACCTCAGGGTGAATAGCTCTACACCAAGTTCACTATATGAACCACTGATGTATTTATATATGTTGATCATATCCCCCCTTATGTATTATACATGTTGATCATATCCCCCCTTATGTATTATACATGTTGATCATATCCCCCCCCTTATGTATTATACATGGTGATCATATCCCCCCCTTATGTATTATACATGGAGATCATATCCCCCTTATGTATTATACATGGAGATCATATCCCCCCTTATGTATTATACATGGAGATCATATCCCCCCTTATGTATTATACATGGAGATCGTATCCCCCTTATGTATTATACATGGAGATCATATCCCCCCTTATGTATTATACATGGTGATCATATCCCCCCTTATGTATTATACATGGTGATCATATCCCCCCTTATGTATTATACATGGTGATCATATCCCCCCTTATGTATTATACATGTTGAGATCATATTCCCCCCTTATGTATTATACATGGTGATCATATCCCCCCTTATGTATTATACATGGTGATCATATCCCCCCTCATGTATTATACATGGAGATCATATCCCCCCTTATGTATTATACATGGAGATCATATCCCCCCTTATGTATTATACATGTTGATCATATCCCCCCTTATGTATTATACATGGTGATCATATCCCCTTATGTATTATACATGGAGATCATATCCCCCCTCTTATGTATTATACATGGAGATCATATCCCCCCTTATGTATTATACATGGAGATCATATCCCCCTTATGTATTATACATGGAGATCATATCCCCCCTTATGTATTATACATGGAGATCATATCCCACTTATGTATTATACATGGAGATCATACCCCCCCTTATGTATTATACATGGAGATCATATCCCCCCTTGTGTATTATACATGTTGATCATATCCCCCCTTATGTATTATACATGGAGATCATATCCCCCCTTATGTATTATACATGGTGATCATATCCCCCCTTATGTATTATACATGGAGATCATATCCCCCCTTATGTATTATACATGTTGATCATATCCCCCCTTATGTATTATACATGTTGATCATATCCCCCCTTATGTATTATACATGTTGATCATATCCCCCCTTATGTATTATACATGTTGATCATATCCCCCCTTTATGTATTTATACATGTTGATCATATCCCCCCTTATGTATTATACATGGAGATCATATCCCCCCTTATGTATTATACATGGAGATCATATCCCCCCTTATGTATTATACATGGTGATCATATCCCCCCTTATGTATTATACATGGTGATCATATCCCCCCTTATGTATTATACATGGTGATCATATCCCCCTTATGTATTATACATGGAGATCATATCCCCCCTTAATCTCCTCTTCTCAAGAGAGAATAAATTCAGTTCCTCTAATCTTTACTCATAGCTGATCTCCTCCATGCCTCTTATCAGTTTGGTTGCCCTTCTCTGTACTTTCTCCAGTTCCCCAATGTTCTTTTTGTGATTTTTGTTAACTGTAATACAGTGTGCAGTACATAGCTTATGCCAAGGAGGATTCTAGTTTGGTCTTGGTGTTCTGTAGGTCCTGGCCTATTTCTGTATCTTTTTGCATTGAACCAAGAAAAGTGTAGATTACAACAGCAGGAATTTCATATACAGTAAACAAGTACCTTACCCTGTGCCAATGATAATAATATACTGTGCATTCATGCTCATAGATCCTTGTGACACTGACAGTATTAGGCCATCTTCTGTGGGTGTCACATCCATATCTGACAACATGGCTTGTTCTACTCTAGCTCTATAGTAAGACAGAAAAAATGAAACATAAAACATCTTAGTGATACATCAGGTAGGAACATGTGCAGTACTAGTCAACCTTCTGCAATTGTATAAGGAATACGAAAACCTGTGGTTAGGGACAGGTGTCCGAGCATGGTCACATCTGACTGCGATCAGGCTTGGACACCGATCCCTAACTGCAGGTAACTGCTTGGTGTGTGGCTACATGCAAACAGTGATGGCCACCATAAGCCTGTCATTACTTTATACTGACTGAGTGGCCTCTGCTATTCCCATGTACCTGTCATTCCAGGTGCAAGAATCCACTGATTCTTGTTACTGGAATCTGGTGTATGAGGCTAAATAAAACAAAATTGGTGATAAAAATTGTGCATCCCAGTATCCAGAGAAGGAGCCTCCTGCACATCCTAAGAGCAGCAGCCACTCATCCCTTAAGGGGAGCTCTGGCTGATTTGGATCACCAGTAAAAGCCCCAGGATCCATTTGATGTAGCATTCCACCCTTCAGAGGGAAGTTACCCCAGTACCTGGCTTACCCTGGTGATACCCTGATGACATCTGGATTTATGTTTACGAGCGCAATTACATTGCGCGTCTGGTGAGTGCTGTGGGTAGAACCGCCTGGCTGCCTCCTGCACCCACGTGTTCTTTGTGTCTGCTCCCAGCATGGAGCATGGAGCAGGAGGCAGCCAGGCGATCGTTTATTGATTATGTTGCCCATTTGTTGCAATTGATTTCAGAGAGATATGATTACGTCACTTTCTCCAAACCTCTGTGTCACTTACTACTGACCCCTGAACTCTGTCACTTAATACTGACTCCTGTCTTTTCCATCACTTACTATTGACCCCTTACTTTGCATCACTTACGCCTGATAACTGAACTCTGTCTTACTTACTACTGAACCCTTTAAGCCACACCCAATATTCAGTGCAATGAAAACCACAATCATTTGTTTGCAGTTTAACCGCTAGCCTACAGGGCACTTACACCCCCTTCCTGCCCAGGCCAATTTCCAGTTTTCAGCGCTGTCGCATTTTGAATGACAATTGCGCAGTCATGCAACACTGTACCCATATGATATTTTCATAATTTTTTGGTGACAGATAGAGCTTTCTTTTGGTGGTATTTAATCACCTCTGGGTTTTTAATTTTTTTCTTAGTTTTTGTTATAAGTTTTGTAAATAAGTGATTTTCTCCTTCACTGAAGTGCCCTAATGAGGCTGCAGTGATGGGCACTGATAGGTGGCACTGATGGGCACTGATGAGGAGGCACTGGTAGGTGGCACTGATGGGCATTGACAGGCATCACTGATGGGCACTGAAAGGCAGCACTGATACATGGCAATGATATATGGCACTGATATATGGCACCGATAGGCGGCACTGACTGGCACTGATAGGCAGCACTGACTGGCACTGATAGGTGGCACTGATTAGCATTGATAGGTGGCACTGACTGGCACTGATGGATGACACTGAAAGGCAGCTCAGATGGGCACTGATATGTGGCATTGATGTGCACTGGTATGCACTGATATGTGGCATTGATGTGGCACTGCTAGGCACTGGTACGTGGCACTGATTGACAATGACAGCTGGCACTGATGGACTTTGACAGATGGCACTGCTGGGGCTACACAGATTATCAGGGCACACTGATCATCAGTGCCCTGATGATCAGTGTACATGTCCCCTCCATGGAAAGCCGATTACCGGCTCTCCTCTCTTCTCGAGCTGTCAGCATGACAGCTCGAGAGGAGAGAAATGCCCATAACCGAGATTTCCCTGTTTACATGTGGTCAGCTGTGATTGGACACAGCTGATCACATGACCAAGCCGACATCTTTGACTCTTTCCGTGATTGGTGATCCACGTGTCCGAGGGACACAGCGCCCGCCGATCGCCACGCTGCACACTCCCTCAGCCGCGCATGCGTGGTGAGAATGGGAGGATGTCATATGACGTCCTTTCAGAACGAGAGAACCACCTTGCGCCCGTCATTGGACTATATGGCGGGCGGGAGGTGGTTTAAATGATAGTGACGCGCTCCTAAAATACTAATAAAACATTTTATAAAAAATTATTTCATATCTCTCAAGAGAAATATATAAAACAATACAAATATAAATAATCCCTATACGTGTAATTAATAGTGATAAACGTCCATTGTGATAATGTGATAAACAACCGATAAAAAAGTGATCAAAAAAAAAGTCTCTAGTGATGAAAGTGACAAACCCAAAGTGAGAAATCACAATTCCCGGTGACTCTTATTGTATTCTCAATATGCGCTCACCTCATTTAAAGCCTACTGAAAGGCTCAACTAGCTTTTGTTCCCCAAATGGAACTATAAATCATATATTGCTCCATAGCAGTAGTGGTGAGTATCTCCCAATTGCTGTTCCAACGTGGCTCTCCTCTCCTAACACTATCACTGCAGGGATCTCTCGCTCAATCTAGGATATTCATCAGTACAGAGACATAGACATAGTGCCTTATCCTTCAAATATAACAAACCTTTAATATGTGCCCATATGCACTCACATGTAATATAAAATATCAAGCGTTTTAAGTATAACATCCACGATAAATAACAGCCAGCGTGTCCGCCGTTCACTGTGTATACTTGCCGTCCTCGGGAGCCGGGTGACGTCGTAGCTCCTCCCCTACGCGTTACGCTGCAGGTCATGCAGCTTCATCAGGGGGATTCGATTCAAAGAGATACTAACCACTACTGCTATGGAGCAATATATGATTTATAGTTCCATTTGGGGAACAAAAGCTGGTTGAGCCTTTCAGTAGGCTTTAAATGAGGTGAGCGCATATTGAGAATACAATAAGAAGTCACGGGGAATTGCGATTTCTCGCTTTGGATTTGTCACTTTCATCACTAGAGACTTTTTTTAATCACTTTTTTATCGGTTGTTTATCACATTATCACAATGGACGTTTATCACTATTAATTACACATATAGAGATTATTTATATTTGTATTGTTTTATATATTTCTCTTGAGAGATATGAAATAATTTTATAAAATGTTTTATTAGTAATTTAGGAGCGCGGCACTATCATTTAAATTGGTTTATGTTTTATACACATTGCTTGAGTATGTGTTTGGTGCTGACGAACCTTGTTTAATTTAGGTAGTGGCTCACAAGTTATTTAATTATTTTATTTCATTTGTTTGCAGTGCTGCATGCACCGCACTTTCATTGTCTCGGCCAGATGGGCTCAGCTTATGGTCTTGCACACAGGCCCACTTCTTGCAGAAAACTCCCCTGCCTTTGCGTTTACATGCACTTTAACTGCTTCCTGACCGTCCTATAGCCAGGCCCGGATCTAAGGGGGTGCTGGGGTGGGCTGTGCCCCTCCAGATTTTATTTGTGCCCCCCCCAGGTCTCTTAAAGTGCATCCAGTCTAATTGAGACAATTGATGTAAGGGGGCACTCAGAAGAGTACATTTGGTGTAAGAGGAATCTCTGATAGGGACAGTCGATGTAAGGGGACACTATGATGTCAACAGATGATGTAAGGGACACTCTGAGGGGGGAAATTGATGCAAGGGGGCATTCTGATGTTGACAATTGATGTAAGGGGGCACACTGATAGGGACAATTGATGTAAGGGGGTACTCTGATAGGGACAATTGATGTAAGGGGGTACTCTGATAGGGACAATTGATGTAAGGGGGCACTCTGATGAGTGGTCCTGATGTAAAGTGGGACTCCCTTGAGGACTCCTGATGTAGAGGGACACTGATAGGGACACCTGATATAAGAGGGTATGGGGGTAATCCAATAACAGCCTAATACGTAATGGCATTGCTTCTGCACTACCTGTCAGATGTTACTTCTGGGTAGCACCTCATGTGACAAACTGTTAGTCAGTGTTATCATTATGCCCCCTTACTTTTTTTTACTGCACCCACAGATCAAATAAGCTAGATCCGACCCTGCCTATAGCAGAACTACTGCTACAGAGTGGCAGGGCTGCGCAAAATCACATATATATATATATATACGTGAGATTGTATTTCCAAGTAGGGGGAGCGCCCTACCCGTGTCGCCATTGGCGGCTTCAGCTGTCGATCACCAGGTCCTGGCCGGTGATTCCCCGTCAGCACCCAGTGATCCCCGAGGAACACTGATGGGGTAGAGACCTGTATGTAAACAATACAGTACTCTCCCGTCAGCTCAAGCACACTGCTTTGTATTGCTCTGCATAGCAGAGGTATATAAATAAGTGTGATTACATAGTAAAGCACACACACAGCACGCAGTAAAACACATACAGCACACAGTTAACCCTTTGATCGCCCCAGATGTTAACCCCTTCCTGCCCAGTGTCATTAGGACAGTGTCAGTCAGTGCTTTTTATTAGCATTGATCACTGTATTGGTGTCACTGGGGATGTCAGTGATAGATAGTCAGTTCCCCCCCAGTGTCAGAATGCCCGCCGCAGTCCCGAAGTCCTGCTATAAGTCGGTGATCCCACCGCCATTACTAGTGTAAAAAAAGAAAATTCCAGTATACCGCCATTTGTAGATGCTATAACTTTCACGTAAACCAATAAATTTACACGTATTGGGATTTTTTTTTAATGATTACTGTTACCACCTATCTTAGCATGTGTGGTCAGCATCATACTCACCTTGAGAATTTATAAAATACATTTCCCACAGAAGGGATAGTAATCTGACCATTGAGCCATGGTGTTCTCAGGTCTATGTCATCCAGCTGACTCTCCAGGTCAGCTTTGCCTTTTGGACAAGCTGTATGTGACAAAGGAAATATTTAACATTATTTTATGATACTTGTTTAGTTATATACCAAGCTGGACAAGTATTTTTTTAGGCCTCATTCACACTATGACCCACAACGCCAGACATAGGGCATATACATGTTTCTGCATGTTGCCAAGTCATGTACATAGGGTAGCCCATTCGACTCAATGAGCTGCTCTATGCATGATAAATGCAAAGTAGCTACTGTACCTTTTTTGAAGTGTCAAGAGGCATTTTTCAACCACACAGCTTTCTGTGTTTATCGCAGATTTTTTCAACATGAAAAAGCAACTCATTATTTTTAGGATGAAGTTTCATGTAGCATATATGTTGGAGACATTGTAATATTTGACTGCATTATGTCATTGTAACGCACTGCACTGCATTAAAGTATACATGTCATCTTTTAGATATACTAGTGCAGGTGAAACTCGAAAAATTAGAATATTGTGCAAAAGTTCATTTATTTCAGTAATGCAACTTAAAAGGTGAAACTAATATATGAGACACATTACATGCAAAGCAAGATAGTTCAAGCCTTGATTTGTCATAATTGTGATGATTATGGCTTACAGCTCATGAAAACCCCAAATCCACAATCTCAGAAAATGAGAATATTACATGCAATCAATAAAACAAGGATTGTACATAGAACAATATCGGACCTCTGAAAAGTATAAGCACGCATATGTACTCAGTACTTGGTTTGGCCCCTTTTGCAGAAATTACTGCCTCAATGCGGCATGGCATGGAGGCTATCAGCCTGTGACACTGCTGAGGTGTTATGGAAGACCAGGATGCTTCAATAGCGGCCTTCAGCTCTTCTGCATTGTTCGGTCTCATGTCTCTCATCTTACTCTTGGCAATGCCCCATAGACTCTCTATGGGGTTCAGGTCAGGCGAGTTTGCTGGCCAATCAAGCACAGTAATCCCATGGTCATTGAACCAGGTTTTGGTGCTTTTGGCAGTGTGGGCAGGTGCCAAGTCCTGCTGGAAAATGAAGTCAGCATCCCCATAAAGCTCATCTGCGGAAGGAAGCATGAAGTGCTCCAGAATCTCCTGGTAGACGGCTGCGTTGACCCTGGACTTAATGAAACACAGTGGACCAACACCAGCAGATGACATGGCTCCCCAAATCAACACAGACTGTGGAAACTTCACACTGGACTTCAAGCATCTTGCAGTGTGTGCCTCTCCATTCTTCCTCCATACTCTGGGTCCTTGTTTTCCAAATGAGATGCAAACGTTGCTCTCATCAGAAAAAAAGAGGACTTTGGACCACTGACCAGGTCTGTTTTTCTTTAGCCCAGGTAAGACGCTTCTGACGTTTGTTGTTCAGGAGTGGCTTGACAAGAGGAATACGACATTTGAAGCCCATGTCCAGGATCCGTCTGTGTGTGGTGGCTCTTGATGCACTGACTCCAGCCTCAGTCCACTCCTTGTGAAAGTCCCCAACACTTTTGAATGGCCTTTTCCTGACAATCCTCTCCAGGCTGTGGTCATCCCTGCTGCTTGTGCACCTTTTTCTTCCACACTTTTCCCTTCCACATAACTTTCTATTAATGTGCTTTGATACAGCACTCTGGGAACATCCAACTTCTTTTGCAATTACCTTTTGAGGCTTTCCCTCCTTATGGAGGGTGTCAATGATGGTTTTCTGTACAACTGTCAGGTCAGCAGTCTTTCCCATGATTGTGATTCCTACTGAACCAGACTGAGACCATTTAAAGGCTCAGGAACCCTTTTCAGGTGTTATGGCTTAATAAGCTGATTGGAGTGGGACACTTTGAGCCGAGAATATTTCACCTTTTCACAATATTCTAATTTTCTGAGATT